AGGTTAACCTTTGTAACCCGTTTCGAAATAATAGAAGTGTATTATTTGAGTATTATGTGTTTTGTGCTTAATTACGTGTCTTAATTGAATTAAGTATGAAAATAAGCATCAAAATGAAATGTTAGATAAAGGCGATATCTATGGATAATGTTGTAGTAGTTAAAACGAGGTTTCCGAATATATAAAGAATGCCGAAATCCGAGTTATAACGAAGAAGTTATGATCTGTCGAAGTTTTAAGACGGAACCGGCACGACACTGAATGACGTAAAATATGAAATTAATATAGAGCGATATTTATCCCTAGTAATCTAAACGAATGTTGTAGAGTTCGTTAAACCAAGAGCGTGCATAAAAAAGAATGCCCAAATCTGACTTTGTATGAGGAAGTTATGATTTTTCTAAGTTTCAGTTTAGCAGTATGCAGCCCGAAACTCGAATTCGAGATCGAGTGATTGTTGGTCGAAACAATCTAAACGAGAATCGAAAATATCATTGATAGTAGTGCAATGGTGAAAAGACAGACGAAAACGGACGTCAGATGAAGATGTTATGAATTTATAACGAAGTTTTCCTGTCCCGGCCTACTAAAAATAAATAATAAAAATAAAGTCAAAATTAGTCGACAAAGTTTAAAGGAAAGTTGTAGAGCGTAGTCTCACCTACGCGTGGATATAAAGAACGTCAAAAACGGAGCTTGTATGCAAAAATTATGAATTTTTGAAGATCATGACACACATACCAAAGCATATCCGAAGGAGTCAGCAAGCTTATCCGAACTACACCCAACGTACACCAAAGCGTGACCCGCCTCGCACTCAAGTGCTCCGATGACGCATGCAGTGACGAATCCGAAGCGTACTGTGCATTACGCCCAACGTAATGCGAGGCTTCAACCTCTATAAAAGGGCATGCGAGGTTGCCGATTTCTTTTGCCAAAATTCTTTCTTTCTCTCCCCAATTTTCCTTGTTTTGCGTGCAACTTATACCCCGAAGCCCCGGTATCATTCCCGAGTCCCGAAGCAAGTCCCGAATCCCCGAGGATCCCGAGAAGTAAAATTCTCGATCCGAAGCTCTACCCGCGAAAAGCCAATTTTTTGTGAAGATCTTCCAGATCGATCTACCAAAGAATACTGCTTCTACAAGCCGTAATGTTGTCCGATCATCTTCTGATCAAGTGAGTGTGTGTTTACTTTCTTCTAACGCACAATTATGCAGTATTTTATACGAAATACGTGTTATGTGTATATTTTGTTGTTATATGTGTGAATGTATATTCACTTTCTTCTATATCATAGATATTATTTATTCTCTATGAAATATGTGTTATATGTATGTGTCTCATATGTTGTTTGGAATATGTATTGAATGAGAATGCTATACAGGTTTTAAACTATGTATAAAAATATATATTTTTATCTACTAATATGTTGGGTAGAACATGGGTAGATAGTTGATGTGTGATAAACAGATGAGAGGCCTCGATGTTGTTGTTGTTGATCTAGTTATTCAGCGGAGTATGGATAACGACCACAAACTCTTTCTAGACAGTCTTGTGGAACGCTAGCAGGCTCATAACCTGTAGGTGTTGTGAACGATGTGTTCACCGGTGTACTCCATTCCCCTCACCGTTGCCTTTAGGACATCTATTGTTGAGGAAACCCCTTTGCAGTAATGTCCGTCCCGATGAAAATCCTAGATTAGGTCCCTTGAGATAAATGTTGTTTTAGGGACGTAAAGTGATGATAACGGGAATGGGTAATCGGGTTATTGTTGGTTGGTGAAATTAAATATAATTATTTATTGCAGGTTGAAAACCCTATATGCTCACCAGGCTCCCAAGCCCGACCCACTCAGTCTATTTGTATTACAGGTAGTGGCGCGAGGGCATAAGATGGATGAATCATCAAGTTATTTTGTTTATTAGACCAGTTGTTATATGTAACTATTGTATGGTCTATCTTTTGTTGTTTATGCTTTTGTGTCTGTATCGAAACATGACATCCCGAGTTATGATTATATAATGAAAATACATTTCTTTATGAAATGCTTTGGTAAATATGATTTTAGCATACTTTGTTTTTGGGAACAAATTCCGCAACTCTTTTAAATCAAAATGATTTACTCTGAAATTATTTTAAAAGCATAAATGAAACTAGTCTTTTCTAGCAAAGATTTTGGGGATGTCACATTTAGTGGGCTAATGATCCATGGTTTATTAAATTGAGCTAAAACCCATAGGATGTTCCATGGATGGTCCATGGAGGTTAAAACCCATAGATCATGGAGGAAATGAAAAATCATATCAATTAAGGTTTACATGATGTAACCCTACATGTGACACAACTATAAAAGAACCCCATATCTACATGAGTGGTATATCATCCTATAAAAGAAATACAAATACATACACGCTAACAAACACGGTTTTATGTTTTGTATATGTTTTCAGAAGAAGAAAAAAAGGCTCATTCATGTTTGCAAACAATAAAACACATTAAAAATATATTAAAGCTAGAAAATAAAAACTAATCTAATAATTTTATATTCAAAAGGCATCAACTTGCTATAAAAAGCCATATAGAGCCATCCATGCAACCAACAACATACAATCAAAGTTCTAGGTATAAATGTTAGTGCGCAACAATAATTACATCAATTATGTGAAAAGATTTAATCGATTGAAGGTTTAAAGGCATCAATTATGTGAAAAGATTTAATCAATCAAAGGTTTAAAGGCATAGGGCTATGGGGTATCACACAATTTTTACCGACGGAAACATAAGGTGTGTTCGGTAAAACTAGCTTTTTTAGCAGGTAGCGGGTAGCGTTTAATTTTGGAATGTTTTGTTGAAAGCTACTTTATTTAGCTTTTAATTTTGTACCGTTTTGTTTACACTAAAAGTTAAACGCTCTTGTCGCCAAACGAGACTTCTTCTTTTTTACTAGCGTTTTCTTAAAACCTAAAAGCCAAAAGCTCCAAAACGTTACGTGCCAAATACGCCCATAAGCTAATAGTGATATTTTTGTCATTTTTGCCAATGACAAAAGGGTGTGGTGTTTTAACATGCTCCACGTATGCATAACCCCGGTAAACTTCCATCGATGAAAACTACCACTGGTAAGTCAAATGGTTGAGGAGTGTTGTTCACCGGCGATAATATGCTCCACGTATGCATACCCCCGGTAATATCATTACCACAAGTCACAACATAAAATAGTAGTGCTAATAATTACATCAATAGAGACCAATAATTGGAGAATTCAAAAAGTATCGTTGTAGGAAATTTATTGATACATAATATGTTTTCTATTAATCACATACGATAGTTTAAAAATAAGAAAAAATTTACTATAAAAATTGAAGGGGGATTTCGGGCCTCCACCGTATATTTGGTACGGAACTCCCCACTCCCCCCACTCTCAAAAACTAAATGGGAGTAAAACCCACCCCCAAACGGCCAAACCCGAAAAATTGTAACATTACTTCCATACGAAAACGAGGTTCCCCGAAGATTTTTAACATCCCTATTACTAGCTCCACCCGGTAGGACAACATGGGCTGATTGGCATTAACCTTCTTAGAAACATATATATATATATATATATATATATATATATATATATATATATATATATATATATATATATATATATATATATATATATATATATATATATATAACTTCTTTAATGTATTAAAGATACAAACTAAGCTTGTAAATATGTATGAATGTGAGTATGTATAGGATCATGTCTCTTCGGTAGTATGGTGTGTATATATATATATATATATATATATATATATATATATATATATATATATATATATATATATATATATATATATATATATATATATATATAATGGTGTATCGCAATCTACCATTGTATGTGTTATTGGATGCACCTTATGGCCTAAAGTAAAAATATAATGGTGTATTTTATTTTAAACATAACTTTGGCGTACTAGCTGAAAAGCTAGTTTAAGTAGCTTTTCAAAAAGCTAGCGTAAAAACTACTTTTTAGCTTACCAAACATGACAATATAAAAAAACTCGATAAATAAGCTAGCTGTGACACGCCAAACACAACTTAAATATTGACAAACATTTATTTTTATTTGTCAAGAGTTAAATGTTTAGGAATATTTTATTACTATTTTTTATAAGATTTTGCAAGAAATATATCAATACAGATTGTTCTACTTTTCCATTTTCATATGAAACTAGGTGTGAAACTCATGTATTACATGAGTTTATTTAAAAAAAATTAGATACGAAATTTTAACAATTTGAAAAGTTTGAATTTATAAGAAAAATATGGAAAAAATTTAAATTATTAAAATTAATGATGCTTTAATTCATTGAATACATTACATATATAAATCTTTTCTAATAAATACCTTACATATTAAATCTGAAATTTTAATTTAATAAAATGAAAAATACAATAAAATGATAAGTGGAAAATAAAAAATTTAAAAATTCTAGAAAATATCATGTGTTCAAATGAAGGAGAAAAAAACATCTGATAAAAAAACCTTGATTTATTAAGAAGGAAATGATGCTTTAATTCATTAAATACATTACATATATAAATCTTTTCTAATAAATACCTTACATATTAAATATGAAATTTTAATTTAATAAAATGAAAAATACAATAAAATGATAAGTGGAAAATAAAAAATACTATGTATCCAAATGAAGTAGAAAATAACATGTGACAAAAAAACTTTGATTTATTAAGAAAGATGTTAAAATTTTCATTTAAACATCTTAAGTTAGCTTCATCGTATCGTATCATAGATAATTTCTTTAGACTTTAATAAAAGAAACAAAACTCATCCGGTAATTTATAGTAAAAATATACTCAGGATTATTCTTTCTTTTTTCTTTTTTTAATGGCAAAGGTCTAGCAAGGGTTGCAAGGGAATAAGTACTATAAATATGTGGACAGAGGAGATGGCGAAGTAGTAGTTACTAGTAACGATTCTAAAATGGAAGCTCACATAGCCGTTTTCCCGAGTCCAGGGATGGGTCACCTCATTCCACTCACTCAGTTAGCTCATCAGCTTCTCCTCCATCGTCGTTTCTTCATCACCTTCATAATACCCACTGCCACCGGTTCCCCTATAAAACCACAAAAAGACATCCTCAACGCCATGCCGGAGAACATCACTTCCATATTCCTCCCTCCCGTAGATCTAAACGACCTTCCAGATGATGCTACCATGGAAACTCGGATATCACTCACTTTAACTCGGTCGTTACCTGCTCTACGTGAAACTCTTACCGAGTTAACTACACAAAACCGACCCTCAGCTTTGGTTGTTGACCTTTTTGGCCCTCCTAGTTTCGAAATTGCCAAAGAGCTCAACATTCCATCCTATATTTTCGGTACGTTTTCGGCTATGTCATTGGTTAGTATCTTCTATACGCCGATTTTAGACCAGATGTTTGCTTGCGAGTACAGGGAGTTACTTGAACCGGTAAAACTACCCGGATGTGTTCCCGTTCAAGGGTCCGATATTCCTGAACCGCTTCAAGATAAAAAGAATGAGTCATATAAAAACATCGTTGAAATTAGCAAAATGTTTAGCATGCCAAAAGGTATATTGGTGAACAGTTTTGTCGAATTAGAACCGAGTAGTTTTAAGGCCATGCAAGAAGGTGAGTGGTGTAAACCCGATATTCACGCGGTCGGACCGTTAATACGCAAAGGTTCAGACAATCCAACCGGTGATGAATTCGAATGTTTAAAGTGGTTGGATAAGCATCCGGTCGGGTCGGTTTTGTTTGTATCATTTGGAAGCGGTGGGACCCTCTCCCAGAAGCAGGTCGATGAACTAGCATTTGGGTTGGAAGAAAGTGGTCAAAGATTTATATGGGTCGTAAAGAGTCCAAATGATAAGGCAAATGCAAGTTACTTCAATGCAGAAACTCATCACGACCCGTTAGGATATTTACCTGACGGGTTCTTGGATCGGGTCAAGAACCGGGGTCTGGTGGTGTCTTCTTGGGCACCTCAGGTTGAGATACTGAGCCATGAGTCAACTGGAGGGTTTCTGACACACTGTGGTTGGAACTCGATACTAGAAGGTGTTGTCAATGGAGTGCCTATGATTGCATGGCCACTTTACGCTGAGCAAAGAATGAACGCTGTGTTTCTTACAGATGATTTGCGAGTTGCTTGCAGGGTTAAAGTGGATGAAAATGGAGTTGTAGGGAGAAATGAAATCGACAGTTGCGTAAGATGTTTGTTTGAAGGAGAAGATGGACGTAAGATGAGGTTGAAAATGAGTGAGCTTAAAGATCTTGGTGCAATGGCATTGAGCCAAGATGGTTCATCGACTAGGTCGCTCTTACATGTGGCTGAAAAATGGGTTGAATAACGTTTTCTTGTACTTTTCGTAAAGTATAATTGTGTTCCACGTAAATCTTTTAAAAATAATTATTTGTACGTCTTTACTAAATAAGATATTTTACCTAAAAGTTGCATTAGAATGTTGTTAAAATTGGTGTACTTCTTTTTGGGTGTAGATTGGTGTAAGCAACCAATAATTGTTTAATGGGAAAAAACATAGGCTAATCTTTTATATTTATTTTTTGAAGTGTTTATATATATGATCATTATGATTGGTTATGATCGGATGTAATTGCTACAGCCGGTCATAATGATCATATGTGAACACTTTCAAAAAATTCATTATCTAGATGTGAAAAAAAAAAAATTACTCACATGTGAAAAAACCAAAAAGTTAATTACCTTAATAAGTTTATTTCCCAAATTTTTAAAAATACTAAAAGAATGAAGTGATATATAGAAAAAACTCATTATTGCTCGATGGTTTTCAAATAGTACAAAGAGTAAATTACAGGTTTGGTCCCTATGCTTTGTGCCAATTCGTAGGTTTAGTCCAACCTTTGGAATTTTAATAAGACCCATCCTTGTGGTTTTAAAAAATTACAGTGGCCACCCCTGAAGCATACATCGTTTATATTTCATTCGTCAAACACCAACACGTGCCCTTCATATCAGGGGAATTTTTGTCAATTTGCTTTTGTCTTTTTCCCAATGTCTATATGAACGCAGGAATCAAAGGTATTTAAATACCATTTTTTTTCTCAATAAAGCTTCATTGAAACCTTTCGAAAATTGAATTTATGAAAAACCAAAGAATGGTTATATGTGCCTGTGGTCGTCGACGATTGTACTCACGTTGTGGACAGATGTTAATCCAGGCAGGCGTTTTTGGGGTTGTCCCCTCAAATGGCTCATAATGTCCATTCATCGGCTGGTTTGACCCACCGATAAGTCGTAGGTTTGTCGATATCATCCCAGGATTACTGAGGGCAAGAAACAACTTGGAAGCTAGTAGAAGGATTTACAAATACCTCTTTTTCCTGTCTTGGGTTTTTTTAGTCGTGTTCTTCATGGGTGATGGTAACGATGATATAAAGTTGAATTAGGTGCAACTTGTAGTGTAACATCCATAAAGTTCGTGAAAATTTTGAACTTTTAAGACCATGTGGGGTAGCCCATGACATTTCCATGTAAAGGACCATGTAGGGTAGCCCCAAGACATCCTTACAGCTTTATGTATGCATGGATTATGTGGTGTATGTAGCATTTATAACTAATATGATATGTGTCATGTGGACTGTGTGTGGGGTATGCTCTGAAGAAAACACTAAGATTTAGCTTATAGGTTGTGGATTTGTTTCAGGTACATCAGATCCTAAGGGAAAGGGCAAGACTTGATGGCGCGACGTGCACTCTCTCACAGGCGTTTTATGGGACACTCTGATGTTTTAAATAAAAGTCTTAATTGATATTAGTTTGAAAACAATTATATATGAGATTTTGTAATTTATGGAAATGTGTTTGAATAATCAAAAATGAAAATTTTCCTTTGAAAATTTGGGTCGTTACATCATAAACAACTAATCTACTTTTTAGTTGATTTTACCTGTTTGTGATGAGTTAGTAGGGTGTTTGTTGTTGGGCATGTTGATTGCTGCCACATATCTCGACCATTTATAGGATCCACTTTCACTTTGTACATCTCGTGAAGGGTTATCCACAATCTCCTCAATAACCACTTTTGTAGGAGACATAAAATATGTATTCAAATTACTTGACCCATGTTCTATATAAAATCGAATTTACTTATTCTTTCCAACATATGTTGAAAACCTAATGACATCTTGGTCATTACTTAAAGATAGAAGTCTACAGACCAAGTCAGTCCTAGGAATATAATAGTGGTAGTAAATACAATCCTGATTACTATATCCTAACTCCTCGAGGACCAGATCGAGTTCGTGCATTGAGAACTCGTCGATGTCAATAAATTCAAAATAACTGACCTTACCAAGCAAGTATCTTCTACCAGGTGCTTTTGAGAACATCCCTCCATGTGAAATACACATTGTGAAAATATGGGGTAAACCTTCTGCTTAATGGCAAAATAACCTCATATTAAGACCTAAACAAAGAAAAAGAACGATCATGAATGGTGATTTGAAGAAATATGAATCCTAACCATACACTTTGTCAACATCAGTGGCAGAATTTCTAGGGTCGTATACTCTATAACATTGGACGCATTCTCAATCTTCAAACAAAGTAACCCTAACGAACAGATTAGGAAGAAGGAAGGATAATGGGATTTCTTGGGATGCTTGATCAAGTTAACCAAAAACGTTATAGTAGGATAATGATGAATACTAATATAATTAAGAGCGTGGCGGCAACGTAAAACGCAAAAATAAATTAACAAAAATACCCCTCATGTGACGTGATGGTGTTTGACGACTTAACTAAACGTCGTATGCCTTAGGGATAGCCATTACAATTTTTTTAAACCACAAGGATGTGCCCTATCAAAATTCCAAAGGTTGGACCAAACCTACGAAGTGGCACAAACCACATGGACCATAACTGTAATTTACTATCGTAAAAAGTTTTTTGAAATTTACAATTGGATATGCTCAGCTATACATTATAGTGGTTATAACTAGGGTGACAATTTAGCTTGAAAATTCGAATCAAACCGAAACCCAAACGAAATCGAACCAAATTAGGCCCGAATAAGAAATTCAATTCGGTTCTTGGATATCAATATATGCTTATTCTGTTCTGGGGTTATTCGGTCCGGGTTACCCAAATAAGATCTTATTCGGTTCTAAATACCCAACCCAAAATTGAAAAGTCATTTAATTTTAATCCTGATTACTTTCCCTCGTTAGTTGCTAGTATGTAGTAACCCTTATCTGATCAAAGTCGAACTCAAAGGCGTGCCCTGCATTCCTCATCCCCCTCTCTGATCGACATAAATTGAAACCACGATTCACACTTTTATCCTCCACAATCAAAACAGAAAAAAAAAACCCTATGCTCTTCATTTTCGTTTCAAAATCGACCAATCTACTCAATTATTGCCAAATATTTATTTTGGATATGGTTAAAAACATAAGATTCATATTATAGTTTGGGTGTTGAATGTTTAATGTTTAACTGATATACTTATATATGGATTTTTGGGTGTTTAATGTTTAGTGTTTAGTATGTTGCTTTATAAATATAACTCAAGATTTTGGAGTTTGAAGTTTATATGCTTATATCTCAAGAATAGGTAATTCATGTTTACATTCTTACTACACAAATTCTAAACTTTTTTTTTGCACCTTTGAAACAATTATGTATACTTTGCGTTATTTTTAGTTAACAAATTTGTTTCTCTAAAATATTTGTTATGAAATCATAAGCTATAAAAGTCATAAAAATACATTGTTTATAACCATATTGTAAATGTTATTCGGATTATTCGAGTTATAGAATCCTAATATGGTGTATACGGTACTTTTCGGTTATATTAGGTCCTTAATCATGTACATGTTATTCGGGTTATTCGAGTAATAACCGAACCGAATCGACTAATACCTGAACCGAACTCGTATTAGTTAATAGGTTCGTGCAATTACCCTTATTTAATTTTTGGGTTATTCGGGTTCGGGTCGGTTCGGTCTGGTTCTGATTCGAATAATATCCCTAGTTATAACTTATACTAATAAGAATATGAAAATTTTAATTTGTTATAAATTGTTAATGATACAATTAATAAATAAGCAAATAGAATATCAAACATCCATAAATATTTGGGTGTAAACTTTTACAGGTAAAACCACATTGCATTATACTTGAAATTATAAAAATTGATAGTGAGAGAAGGTTTACAAGTTCCTAGTAGATTGAAAGAGAGATGGGAGAGGATAAAATGAATAAAACAACCTAAAGGCTTTATGTATAAGCCTT